GCCAACCCCAAATCAGAACCGTCCTTTGCCTAATTACAGGCACCAAATGAGATTTCCATTTTCTTTTTAATCAAGGAACTGGGGGCTTCTGGTGGGGCCAGCTGTTTTGCTCAGACAAGTCCAAGGCATTGCAGGAGAGGGACGCAGGGCGGGGGGTGTCTTACCATCTTGGTGTGGGTGGTAGATTGAGAGAGCTCAGTGCTTTCCATTTCAACCCCTTTCCACATCCTTTTAAACCACCTCTTGTATTCCATTCGCACCTGGAAGTGGGAAGAATATTGGGGCTGCATTACACCCAGAGCTTTGCAGGAGAAATTACGATGCCAAGCCTCACTCCCTACTGCTCTTTTGGGGGTTTTCTGTCTGATAATGGCCATGCTCATATGGGTTCATTTGACTCCGATTAAACTTCCTCAGCTAGACAAAAGATGCTGACTTAAAGCCAGGCACCAGAAGGGCTCTTTATGAAGATGAAGGTGCAGACGATGACGAAGATGAGGATGGTGATGATGCACGTGGTGATGAGGATGGAGATGATGAGGTGTTTGTGGTGAGGATGAAGGTGATGATATGTTGATGGAGGTGTTGGTGGTGATGATCAAGGAGATGATAGTGGTGATTATGATGATGATGATGAAAAAAGTAATTATGGTGAAGATGAAGATGATAGTGGTGATGGTGACGAACGACGATGACAAAGGCTGCCATTCATTAAACACTCAGGTAAACACAGGACCGCTAACTGCAAGGTCGGCAGTTGAAACCCACCAGCTGCTCCGTGGGAGAAAGTTGAGACCGTCTGCTCTCTTAAAGATCTACAGCCTCAGAAACTGCTGATTTGGAATCAACAAAAGGGCAGAGGATTGGTTTTGGAAGTCTTGAGAGGGCAAAGGTCCCACACTTGACTGCTCCCCCGAGGATGGTGGTTCCAGTGCACCCAGCAGGCAGCCACACAGGAAAAAGGCCTTCAATCTTCTTCCATGAAGATTAAACTCAGCAACTCACTGCCATCAAGCTGGTTCTGACTCACAGCAAGTGACTCTACAGGACAGAGTGGAACTGCCTCTGTGGATTTCTGAGATGGCAAATCTTTGCAGGAATAAGAAATCTCATTTTTCCCCCTTTGGAATGGCTGGTAGTTTCAAATCCTGAGGTTAGCAGCCCACCCCATCACCCACATCAGGTCAGGGCTCCAAGAACATTACAGCCTAGGGAACTTGTAGGGCCATTCTGCACGGTCACATGGCATTGCCATGGTCAAAATGGACTCAATGGGATCCAACAGCCCAAACAACCTCTGTTCCAGGCACTTCACATGCACTGGGCCATGTGACTTGCTGAGGAAGGTGTTCCCTCATCCTCAATGAACAATGAAGAAGTTGAGACTCTTGGAGGGAAACTGGCTTGTCCATAGCAGCACGCCCAGCATTGCCATTCTTATTCAAGAGTCCTAGAACTAATCAGAGTTCTGGCGGCATAATAGTTATGCATTGGGCTGCTAACTGTAAGGCTAGAAGCTCAAAACCACCAGCCACTCTGAGAGAGAGAAAGATGAAGCTTTCTATTCCCACAAAGAGTGACAGGCTCAGAAACCCACAGGGACAGTTCTACCCTGTCCTATAGAGTCGCTCTGGGTCAGCAGTGACTCAATGGCAGTGAGAGCACTAACCACTGAAGAAACCGCTGAAGAAACACTTTGTGTTCCAATAGATCGCCCTCCTGGAACTTCCTTAACATGATAAAGATGTTCATTAAATCGTTAATACTTAGCTCTATGTTGCCAAGACACGCAGGTTATATTTTACTCCTTCTGTGTATGGGGAATCCCGAAGTGCTCAAAGATGGGAAAGAAATTAATAAAGCCTAAATTTGGTCTGTTTGTCAGCGCTGTTAATGCCACTCAACTGCAAAGGATAAAGTCAGGAAAGATAGTCCTAATCTCTCTGATGAGTAAAATGATAGCATCGTTGTTTTTGATGCCACGAGTCCATTCTAACTCATAGCAACTCCGTGTTCCAGAGGATGAAAGACTGCCCACTCCAGGATGGTTCTCTCAACTCTGCCTGCATTTCTGAAGTCGCGGCGTCCATCCGCCTCTGCGTAGGCCTTCTTCTTCACTGGCCCTCTTCTATACCTAGCATGTTGTCCTTCTCTAAGGAGTGGTCTCTCCTGAAAACGTGTCCAAAGTGCGTGAGACGAAGAAGGCTCACCATCCTCACCCCTAAAGAGCCATCTGGTCATCTCCTTCCAGATGTTCATTCTTCTGGCAGGCCGAGGTATACTGTATATACTCGAATGTAAGCTGACCCGAATATCAGCCGAGGCACCTAATTTTACAAAAACTGCAACAAAAAAGTGCTGAACAACTGGGTTTGCACGAGTATGTACAGTACTTAATATTATTCTGCCAAATGCCGTAATTCAAAGATATCAATACTCATCGGTCTTATTCATTTGCTGGCTTCACATTTTCACTTTTTACCACTTTAAAGAGGTCTCTTGCAGATTTGTCCCAATGCACGGTGTCATTTGATTTATTGACTACTGCTTCCATGGATGTTGACTGGAGATTAAAGTAAAATGAAAGCCGTGACAATACCAATGTTTGCTTCATGCATCTTGAGGTTGCTTGTTAGCCCAGTTGTCAGGAATTTTGTTATGTACAGGTTCCTTGTGAGCACGATTGAAGTGTTCTGGGATCCCATCTTGACAATGTCACCACCCATAATTTCTTATGCGTCTAACAGTCAAATGCTTTTGCACAGTGAATAAAATACATGCAAATATCTTCCCGGTATTATTTGTTTTCAGCCAAGATCCATGCGACATCAGAGATGATATTCATGTGACCACGCCCTCATTTGAATCTGGCTTGGATTTCTGCCACTTCTCTGTCAGTATACTGCTGCAACCACTTTAGAATCAACTTCAGAGAAATGACAATAAACATTATACTGATGACCCTTTATGAGACTCTACGGTCTGCCATATTACATGATCTAAATTAATCCTCAATCTGTAGGATACGTTTTGCTTCATTTTCAGGCAAAACAAACAAACAAACAAACAAACAACCCCTACCCTCAAAAAGAATTAGGCAAAAAGAGGATAAGCAACCCATTCGCTGTCACAGTAGTAGTTGGTGGAATGACTTGGATTCAAGCTAAAGTCCCTTTGCACTTACAGTAGATTGCGTCACATAGTCCAGTTTCTCTCCCAATAGTTCACCTCACTATAGGAGGATGATATATCATCCAAGATATGAATAATCAGGTGTGAATTCAAGTATGGCTTGCCTTGGCCAATGAAATCAGGGTGAGAGTGATGTGTGCTACTTCTAAGCAGAAGTTTCAAGAGAGTGAAGCTGTGTTTTGCCTCAATCTCTTTTTATTTAGCTACAAGATCACCAGTACACTATACTGGGCTGCCCCCTCACCCTCATCCCAGAGCTCACACAATGTGAGCCAAACCCCAGGTATATATCATGAGTAAGAATTAAATCTTTAACTTTGCTGATATTGGGGAAGGTATTTTTGTGGTATGTGTGTTTGTGTTGTGTTGGTGAAAATATATGCATACACCAATTTAAAACTCCTGCATGTACAATTGAGTGACTTCAATCTCAATCTTACTACCTGTTTCCAAATTATTCCACAAACATTAACATAACTCATTGTCCTCTAAAGTCTTCTATACTTTCAGGTTTCTTTACACAATTTGATCAGACACAGGTAGAAAATTCTTCTAAGGAACATAATTCACCTTCCTTCAGGTTAAAGATTAAAATCATCTCAGGACAATAGTTTCAGGGAATCATCCAACCTCATTTGCTCCAGAAATTCTGGATTCTATGATATTGTCAATCCTGCTCCACATTACCTCCCCACTTTTGATCAGTAAAGGAGAGCTATTGTTACAGCAGTATAATTGACCTTATTCTGACTGTTACAGTGCTCTTAAGTGATAATGCTAGGATGCTTAAAAGATGAGATTCAAAGAACATGGCAGATCCAAGAATTCAGGCAATTCAAAGTATAAAAAGAAAGGGTCAAGCCTTTAAGACCCCAGAGGCTATATCTTTTGGTAGCCAGGCACCACTTGCTTTCTTCACCACATTTGCTTATGCACCCATTTTGTTTTCAGTGATTGTGTCAGGAAGGTGAGTATCAAAGAATTGCAGGTTATTAGAACAGTGTTCTTGTGTTTACAGGGGCCTTGAGTAGAGGCCCAAAGTCCGTCTGCTATCTTAATACTTAGCATATAAACATATGTACATTGGCTTCTATGACTTCATTATAAATTAATATATTTACATATCTCCATGCCTATAGTGATACCTCTATAAATAGCTTTTGCCTCCTAGTTCTTTCCTTTATTTCCTTTCACCTTCCTCCTGTCCCACTATCATGCTCACCCTCCATTTGGCTTTCAGTAATTCCTCTTGGATATATTTCACTTGTTCAAACCCCACCAGGCATACACCTTCCTCACCATCAGTTTTAGATCTCTTGTTGTTCCCTTATCCCTGAGTTTGTTGGCTCTCCACTCGCCCTCCACACCTCCTCCTCTCCCATGTCCCCTGGTACTGTGTTCCCATTGTTTTCTCCTCGGGATTGTTCATCCTGCCGATCTTATATAGATAGACATAGGGCAAAATAAAACAAAATGATAGATAGTTAAGGTCTGTCTGCTGACTCTTATGAGTGTTTTCCAATCGGGTCTGATGAGGTGCCAAGCCCTGTCCCCTAAGTCAGAAGTTTATTTTCAGGATTCCTCGGGGACCTTGTTTCTTTGCTCCCCTTGCTGCCCTGTTGAA